AACTTTTGACTGTGAAATGCTTCTGTTTGTAATTGTTTACTGCAACCAGTAAGTTCTGGACCTAAAACTTCACTTTCTTGGAGCTACGCTCAACTTACTAATAAGACAAATGATGCCAACAAGTGCAAATAACTAGATATTTCCAAACTATGAGATATAACCTGAGCAATACTCCTGCCAATTCTTTTGAAAGGTATCATAATGTGATGGTTGAGAGTCATTACCTCTCTTTTGCGCTTAAATGTCCTTGTATATGTTGTGCACATATTTATTTCCTATGCAGCAAAACCCACTAAAGGAAGTAGTGTTTTATTATTAAACTGCTAGTGTGTCTGCAAAGTAAAACACCTGTATGTCCAGCAGCATGTTAGTACCAGGGCAGACTCACTGAATAGGCTTAGATAGTGTCCTAGATGCAGTATACAGTCAGGGAATGGATGCTTTTATCAGACTATAGTGAAACAGTTGCTTTGCTTTGTGATTGTCCCTGTCAGTACCCGTGCTGTAAAATGTTGTATCTCTGGAAGTAGATCATGTAATGCTCAGTGCAGTATTCTTAATTGCTTGTCTAACATAACTAATAACTGTGTTATTAACAGGGCGACTAGACAGGATATGGGAGGATTGCCTCCTAAAGGAGTGAATCTGACACAGAACACAGTGTTGTAGTTCAGAAGTAATATAAAATCCCTTTTACTCATTCATGCTGCTGGAGATTACCTACAAGCAGAGGAAAATCAGCAGCTTTAGCCTTTAATATTAAATCTCTGAAAATTACACAGAATATGGAGCTATTTACACTGCTCTGGCTTTGGCCATTTTATTCAAAATGGATGCATCCACAATTAATTTTGTGTAAATAGCATATTGTAACATCAATCTGGATACTGACAGACTCAAAACATGCGGAATTTGTGAATGTCCTATATCTCTTTTCTTGGTAAAAGATTCCTTTTAATTATTGAAGTCTGCTATTACGTATGATAATGTTAAAGTTAAAAAAACATCTGTAACATCAAATCCAACAATGAAGTTAAATTGATTAAATCAAAAGCACTGTGTCCCAGTTAGATCTAATTTATTACAAAATAACTATAAAAAAACACATAAAATGAAATTACATTAATAGACATTATAGATGTTTCCATTTTACAAAAGTTGGTTCAACGGTGGGATGATGGTCACTTTCAACGCGTTTCACAGACTACCAGTCTGCTTCTTTATGGGAAACAATCTACAATATCACATATCAGTAATCAACCAAATAGAAAAAAAATTATCATTTTGAAAAGGACAGTAAAAGTTACATTACTAGATGACAAACAACAAATGTTTTTACATGATATAACCACCGTCAGTCATGTGGAGAACCAAAAGACAAAACAGACCCCCAATGCAGGTAGAGAACATATAGATGGAGTCCCCAATCATTAAAGAATTGTATCTAAATTTGGTTGATCTAAAAGATGTGAGTATAAGGTTATTGACTTTATCAAGTCGCTAATAATTATATCATATAAGCATCGGTGTATTTGAGTAATATTATTACCAGGTTTATTCGATGCTGCAAATTTCACATCTCATCAGAGCTAGGATCATCTGGTGGATTTGAAAAACCAAACTTGCCATAAGGAGCCATCAAGAAACTGGTGTATTATAGGAATCTACATTTTAAGAAAAACTAATATCACCTAAACTGTGATAAAAGACATTGAAATAAAACAAAGTCTAGTTTATTGCCTGTCAATTGTTCTTATGTAGACCTGTAGTCCCCTTAAATGAGATAAAAGGTGTAGATATGTGCAGCTGTACTTACATAAGGTATTTTAATGAGTATAGATAAGAATGCTAGATATCCACAGACAGAGAAATAGACAGAGACAGAGATATCCACAGAAAGAGAAATAGTAAAGAATTCACACCAAAAAATGCCATAATCTTGCACTTTGATAGTATCAAGAGAGAAATAAAGAGAGATATCCATATTTCTATTACTAAAAGACTTGCAAGGTGGGCTCCCTCACAGAAGGGAAACAAAATCCCCATCTAGCTTTGGCAGGGATTATAGGTGGCAGTACTGTAACTTTGTGCTACACAGGGAGTCTGTCTCCCTTCTGTGAGGGGGCCTAACAATTCTTTTTACTGGAGTATTTGCTGAATCAATAGTGATATGGTCATCTGTATTTTTCTCTCTTGATACAAGTTCACAGCATAGTGGTTTGGTGATATTTGTTTATGTTAAGATTTTGCTTAAGTACACCAGTTTCTTGATTACTCATCATGACAAGTTTGGCTTATTGAATCAACCAGAAGATCCAAGCTCAGTTTATATTTGAATTTTGCAGCATCAAATCTATTCAGAGAGATTACAACTACTTGGTAATGATGTTACTGAAACTGATTTTTTAATTTAATCTAATGATTAAACATGGAAAGATAAATTAAACAAACTTATTTTCAACTCCTTAAGAGCAACCAAAGTTAGATGCTGTTCTTTGATGGCCGAGCACTGTCTCTCTATATATTCTTGGCCATTCCCTCCCTGTATTGGGGTTCTGTTTTCCTATTTTGGTTCAACACAACTGACAATGGCAGTATCATCATGTAACAAAACATTTATTGTGAAGTAATTCTTCTATATGATTGGTATATGATTGATGCCAATATGGTTTTGATTATTGACGTAATTTAATTGTGTATGTTTTAACAGTAGTTTTGCAATTAATAAAAAATATTATACATTACAAATCAATTATAATATTATCGTATTATAAATTAAAAATCATTATAATCAATAAATTAATAAAAAAAATTATTTAAAAGATTTTAGGCTTCAGCTCCTAAAAAAGTCCTGTTTTGCTACGTGAGTCTTTGTTCTCCATAACTACTTGATTTACTAGACTGCACACACACTTCCATTTTAAAAACAATTCTATAGAAAAAAATTTCTGATGAATGCAAGAAGTGATTGAGTAAAAGTAGTAAAAACATGCTTCACAAACATTGGTGAGGTTGTCAAAAGCATAAAGAGAGACTAAAAAGAAAGATGTGTCAATAACTGGAATGGTATTATTAATATTATTTATTTTTCAACACACACTCAAAGGGCTCTAATGACATAGTTTTACAACAGAGATATATGGGTTGCTTTGTTAAACAGTAACATGTTAGAATATAGAATTCTAACAAATTTTGCTTACAGAATGGTTAAATAACATGCAGGCGGGACACCTCATTTCTTTGCTATATGGTCTGTAGCACTTTGTTTGTTTTATTCTATGTGAGTATTACATTTTACGGGCATAGGCTGCTGCTAGTTCTTGTCTGTTGATGTCACAAGGTTCAGTTTTCTCAGATAAACCAAATCAATAAGCAAAGAGGAATACTGTAATGCGTCACTTCAGTGACAGCTCTAAGTCTGCTGTGGTTGCTGACTACACATGATATCGGCACCCAAAAGCAGTCTCAGGCCTTTTGAAAGGCTATACAAATGAGGGTTCCATAGATAAATAACATGCATAAAACACGGTAAATGCACATATAATGTTATGAAAAGATAATTTTTTTAATAAATGGTCTGACGACTGGGTCACTTTATTGCAATTTAAAAGTAATTTTCAATGTTACTTAAACTTGCAGCTTTCATTTAAATTCCTGCCATGAATGTCTTTATTTTAGGGTGACAATGCTCTGTCCATGTTTCCCAATTGTGCAGCTGCATTATCAATATATATATCTATATATATATAGATATATATATAGATATATATATGCATATAT